AAAGCATCAGCTCCTGTTCCCAACCCCAGCCTGCCTCCCTACCCCAGTCAAATTCACTCTGGTTATGGAATCAGTGCTTGAAAACCCATTTTCAGTGATAGAAATCGGACTGTCCACTAAGAACCATTGTCCTTTCCAGCTTGATTCCTTAACCAGTGAGGTGCTTCCCATGCTAGTGGAATGGGGTCGGGCATGGGATCTCCATCCTTGGCCACTGTGGCCTCAAGACTGGCCCTGTGGCCCCCTTTCAGAAGGGCCCTCTCTGTTGACTGTTGGAGCTTACAGGGACCTGGGAAATAGTCCATAGGGAAAAGCTGGCAGAGTAATGAATGTTTTATGAGAGTGAGCCAGTCACTGCCATATCGGGAAGATGCTGTTTCTCACTCTCTCTCTGTTACCAGGAAGTGAGATGTGCTGAAAGCCATCTCGGTGTTTTTCCAAAGATGGCCTTTGAAGAGGAGATGTTTCTTTAAGGGGCCAGGAGAGTAGGGGTGGGGTTTGCAGGGAGAAAACCTGCCCCTTTAAGAAGCCTGGTTCTGGCTGTGGCAATCCTGTGGTATGGAAGATAATAATAGTCCCTACTTATATAGCACTTGCTGTGTGCCAACTGCTATGCTAAGCATTTAACGTATATTAACCCATTTAATCCCCACAACAACCCTATGAAATCTGTATTACTTTTTATCTCCATTTTACAGGTAAAGAAATTGAGGTCAGCTGGGCATGGTGGCTCACACCTATAATCCCAGCACTTTGGGAGGCTGAGGCGGGCAGATCACCTGAGGTCAGGAGTTCGAGACCAGCCTGGCCAACATGGAGAAACCCTGTCTATACTAAAAATACAAAATTAACTGGGTGTGGTGGCACCTGCCTTTAATCCCAGCTATTTCAGAGACTGAGGCAGGAGCATCACTTGAACCTGGGAGGCAGAGGTTGCAGTGAGCCGAGATTGCACCATTGCACTCTAGCCTGGGCAACAAGAGCGAAACTCCATCTCAAAAAAAAATATATATATATATATTGAGGTCAAGTATCTTGTCTGGGTCTCAGCTAGTAAGTGCTAGAGGCAAGATTTGAACTCAGGAAGCCTGGCTCCTGAGTCCATGCTTTCTAATACTACATATATGCAGAGGACAGGTGTCTATAGCAGTGTGGAGAGCTTGATTATGTACTAGCTCAGCACATTTCTTTATTTCTTTTCGATAGCTTTATTGAGGTACAATTTACATGCTATAAAATCCACCCACTTGAAGTGTAGAACTCTAAATCTACAGAGTTGTACAATCATGACCACAACCAAGTTTTAGAACATCTCCACTACCCCAAAAAGCTTTCTTGTTCAGTGTGTGTTTTAAACTGAGTCTCAATTTTCTCAACTATAAAATGGGAATATCAGTGCCTGCCTCATAGGATTATTATGAGCATTAAATAAACATGTAAATGGCATACGGTAATGCTCAACGAATGTTACTTATTATTGTTATAGTCTCTTAGAGTCACTTAAATACAGACTTTTAGACCTAGAAGTGGGAATGGTCTTAAAGACAATCTAATCAAACTCTCTCCTTTAACAGAGAAAGAAATAACAGAGCTTATAAGATAATAAGCAGCTTGCCAATTAATGATAGTAAGTTTAGTGGCAGAGCTGGAAATGAAACCCAGGTTTCTTGGTTGGTACTTCAGTTCTTTCTTTTTATTTATTTATTTTTTTGTTTGTTTGTTTTGAGATGGAGTCTCACTCTGTTGCCAGGCTGGAGTATAGTGGTGCAATCTTGGCTCACTGCAATTACTGCCTCTCCAGTTCAAGCGATTCTCCTGCTTCAGCCTCCGAGTAGCTGGGACTACAGGTATGCACCACCATGCCAGGCCACACTTGGCTAATTTTTTTGTATTTTAATAGAGATAGGGTTTCACCATGTTGGCCAGGATGGTCTCAATCTCCTGACCTCGTGGTGAATCCACCTCAGCCTCCCAAAGTGCTAGGATTACAGATGTGAGCCACTGCGCCTGGCCCCAGTCCTTTCTTATCTCCTGAGAGAATTTTCACTCAAAGCACAGGAATATCATTGTCCAGTACCTCCCACCCCCATCTTTCCAGTCTTTGTGGGTGTCTCCAGAACAGTGCTGACTGGCAGGCGTGGATTCTGGGAGTCTGCTTGCGCCGGAATACACAGCACTCTGGGTTTGGAGCAGGGAATGTGGCTGGGGCAGACTGGGTTCAGAACAGGAGACAAGATTCAATGTGGAGGCTGAGAAAGGAATGTCCATTGACAGAACAGGGAATGCATTGACTCAAAAAATCCAGGACACAGCTAGTCCAACAGTCAGCTAGTCTCTGAAGAGCCAGCTTCAAGGCATGTGACCTGTGCAGTCACACGGGGCCTCAGGCTTAGAAAGGCCCCCTGCTTGGTTTAATGCTCTGTTGTTGCCATCTTGAAATTCATAATGATCTTTAACAAGAAAGTCATATTTTTATTTTGCACTGGATCTTGTAAATTATGTAGCTGGCTTTGCACATGTGAGAGAGCAGTGCTGCCGCCAGACTCCTAAGGCCCTAGTAAAGGATAGTGTCTCCCCACCCAAAACTTACTCACATGCAAACTCTCTGTGTAATAGAGTCTTAACACTGAGCATTAGGAGAATAAAAGCCTGGGCAACATAGGGAGAACCTGTCTCTACAAAAAATGTATTAAAATATTAATTTTACATGGTGGCACACGTCTGTGGTCCCAACTACTTGGGAGGCTGAGATAGGAGGATGACTTGAGCCTGGGAGGTCGAGGCTGCAGGGAGCCGTGATTGTGCCATGGCACTCCAACCTTGGCAACAAAGCAAGACCCTGTCTAAAAACAAAGAGAGAATAAAAGTTGTGAAAAAATTTGCACGTTATGATCCAATTTAAGACAAAAGATGCCCCATCAAAGTATATCTTTCTATATGTACATATGCTTGTATGGAGGTATGTTTTTTTAAAGTCTGGAAAAACACTTCAAACTGGCAATCATCAAGGGAGTCATTATTTTTTTCTGTGTGTTTGAGTTTGTTTTTTACGAGGAGACTGTATTCATGTATTATATACATATTATTATAAATAAAATTGCAAAATACTCCTAATATGTTCTGCAAACATTTTCTTATATTAATAAATAGTCTTAAAATGCTAAGAAAAGGTGTCTTGAGAGGGGAAAATGGAAGTAGGTGTGAAGAGCAACCCTGGAGAGTGGTAGACAGAGGAAAAGACTATTTCAGGCCATACAGGGCCTCAGGGAAGCAGGCTTGGACTGGAGGAAGGGAATACAGGGTGGGGAAACGCAGAGGTAACTGGCAAGAGGGTGGGTGCTAGGTGTCAGCTCTGTTCAGATTTAGAGGCTGTGATGTCCGCTTTGGTGAGGGTGGAGGAGGATGATAGAAGCTGGAGGTGGGTGAATTGTCAAATACGACTGGTGGTAAGGGCTGTATAGGTGACTCCGGCTGTGGTGAGAAATGGATGAGGTGGAGGTAGGCAGTGATTCCCTGCAGAGGGAGAAAGAATGGGGCTCAGATATGGTATTTACCAGGGAATGGGAGATTTGAGGCAGTGTGGTCCAGTGGTCAGAGTACAAGCTTTGGAGTCAAGACTGCAATCAAATCCCAGATTTGCCAGGTGCAGTGGTTCATGCCTATAATCCCAGCACTCTGGGAGGCCAAGGCAGGCAGATCAGGGGGTCAAGAGTTCAAGACCAGCCTGACCAACATGGTGAAACCCTGTCTCTACTAAAAACACAAAAATTAGCTGGGCGTGGTGGCAGAGGCACCTGTAATTCCAGCTACTCAGGAGACTAAGGCAGGAGAATCACTTGAACCCAGGAGGCAGAGGTTGCAGTGAGTTGAGATCACACCACTGCACTACAGCATGGCGACAGAGCAAGACTCTGTCTCAAAAAAAAAAAAAAAAAAGAAAAACAAAAAAAACAACCAGATTCACTGTATCCTAACAGTGTAACCTTGAATTCTCCCCTGGGAAACAGAATGATCTTAATAATACCTATGTGACAGGGTCGCCTGGAAGATTTGATGAGGTGATGGAGGTAAAGCATGGCATCCAGTGGCTGGCACAGACCCCAAAACCTTCCCCTTTCTCTTTAATTGATTTTGTGGTTCGAGGCTCTTAAATGGCAAGAAATCATTTGCATGAATAAAGAGCCATTCTTCCAAGCACTTCCCTCCTAGTTTTCTGGGAGAGCCACTGGGAGCCAGGATTCAGAGTTCCATCCTGCAAAAGCTGAGCTGAGCTGGCCAGGAAGGAGGAGGAGCTGTGGCCCAAGCTGGGGGAGCAAGGCCGAAGGGGAGAAGCCAGCCCTAATTCCCGCAGTGCTGGTGCCAGCGAGGCTGACTTTGGGAGAACCTTATCAGGGGATAAGTTTCCTCTAAGAGGGATCTCTAAGAGAAGGGTGCTCTGTGAATGCCGATCTCAGATTCTCTCACCCCCTGGCCTTTTCAGAGCACTCCCCCCAGTTCTGGGGAGAGTGTGAGTGACTGACGGGTCCTGCTGCAGCTGCAGCCTCCTCACTGTGGGTACAGATGTGCTCAGCAGCAGCTGTGACGTGGAGCCCACACCTGCTCCCTAGCTCAGCTGCTGTAACTCTACTCCTGGGAAAGCAGGCCAGGTGCCCAGGCCTTGCCAAAGCGGTCAGAAAGCAGGTGGAAAGTCGGGCATCTGCCTGTCACAGCAGCGGTGCAGTCTGCCTGGAAGGGTCACGGGGCCCTGGGAGTCTGAGCTACAGGCTCCGCTTCCTGCCCAGGCTTGCTCCCAGCTGTGCGCCTCCCATGGGCCCTCTGTGGTTTTCTGACCCCCTTCCTGGGCACCACCACATTGGGGTGGGAGAGACTGAGGAGCTAGGAAGGAGGCGGGGAGTTTTGAATGGGATGCCTCTGGCCATCTGTTATTCTGGACCTGTGAGTTATAAAGTCAGGCCGACTTATCCTGGGAGGTGAAGGCGCAGTGGAGCTGAGCAGCAATGAGGACCGGAGAAGTCAAAGAGAACTGGGGCTGGGAGAGGTCAAGGATGAGGGTGCATCTGAAAACCAGAGCAGGAGCGCCTCTTGCGTGGCTTCGGCCTGGGAGACCTTCGTTCCAGAGACCCTGGGCTGCTATAGGAGAATTCCACTGAGCATGTGTCCAGGGCGGGCCCAGGCAGGCGGCTGTGGGAGTGCTGCACAAACGCTGCTCCAGGCCGTGGCCAGCCAAAGCTCCACTCCAGGAGAGCCCGCGTACCGGGTGAATCCAGAAATCCCAGGTCCCTGGGAAAATTTCAACAAGGCAACTCCGACACGCTCCCTCTGACACCCAGACCGACACAATATATTGCTCATGCCAATACACATAAAAACCTCCCGATAGAAAACCAGATGGTGAGTTGGCATTGCTGATGTCTGGATTCTACACCCACACCCACGTAGTGCTTATAAAGAACACACCCTCCACTCCTCCAGCCCACTCCATGTTCAGGGAGAGGAATCTTGAGCCTGCGATGCTCACAATGATGCTATTGCCTCAATGGAAAGGTGTTTGCCAATTCCCCAACATCCCTGGCAGTGCCAGGAGAAACAGCACATGTGGCAAGAGGCTCCCGGCCAGATGTAGGACACTGCTGACCCCTGCTGGCGTTTTTCTCTCCACGCCAACCAGGGAGAGCCCCAGGGAGAATGCAGTATTGGAAAAACCTTGCAATCTGTCTGGGAGGGGTAGGAAGAAATACCCCAGCTCAGAATCTCCTCATCTGGAGCGACTTTGATGAGACTGAGATGAAATTAGAATAAAATCCAGACTGAGTTTCTGGGAGGAGTGAGACAGACTAATAGTATGTCCCCTTCAGCCTTTGTGGCCTGAAAAACCCTGCTGCCAATCCCCTTGAAACTAAATTAGGAAACCATTAACAACACTCCTTTAGCCAAGCTCAACCATTAGAAGAACAACAACAACAACAACAAAAATTAAATAAAAAGAGAGAGAGAGAACGAAAAAGAAAAGAAAAAAACCCACCATCCCCAAGTAGCCCAATATTTTCCAGTTACAATCAACCCCTTCCCGGTCACCCCCACCCCCACCCCACATCAACCTCTTGCAGAGCCTTTGTGAAGTTTTAGCATAATTTATTATTGTGGGTTTAATATTCCCTTTAGACTAAGATGTGATCATCACATGGGTTTAACACTTTTCTTTCCATGAGAGCACTGTGCTCTTTGAAAAATCTTTACTAAGGCTGGCTCTGGTGGCTCATGCCTGTAATCCCAGCACTTTAGAAAGAGGCCAAGGCAGGTGGATCATCTGAGGTCAGGTGTTTGAGACCAGTCTGGCCAACATGGTGAAACCCTGTCTCTGCTAAAAATACAAAAATTAGCCAGTTGTGGTGGTGGGCGCTCACAATCCTAGCTACTTGGGAGGCTGAGGCAGGAGAATCACTTTAACCCGGGAGGCAGAGGCTGCAGTGAGCCGAGAACATGCCACTGCACTCCAGCCTGGGAAACAAGAGTAAAATGCCACCTCAAAATAAAAATAATAACTTTGTACACACAGAGACAAAGTTCAAATCTTCCAGAATCTCTACTGGAATAGTCATAGGGACCAAAGGAGGACCAGGACTCTGATAATTCCAACAGAATTAGTATGGAAGCCCCTCAGAGAAGTGGTTACCCATTATTAAAACTCCTTTCTCTGGCCAGGCATGTTGTCTCGCCCCTGTAATCCCAGCACTTTGGGAAGCCAAGACAGGCAGATTGCCTGAGTCCAGGAGTTCGAGACCAGGCTTGGCAATGTGACGAAACCCTATCTCTATAAAAAATACAAAAAAATTAGCCAGTTGTCGTAGTGCATGTCTATGATTCCAGCTATTCAGGAGGCTGAAGTGGAAGGATCAGCTGAGCCGAAGAGGCGGTGGTTGCAACGAGCTGAGACCGCACCACTGCACTGCAGCCTGGGCAACAGAGCAAGACCCTGTCTCAAACAACAACAACAAAACTCTTTCTCTCCTTTGTACTCCACTCTAGACCCAGAGCTGCTTTTCACTTTGTTGTTAAACTCCATCAAGGGTGTGTATACTCCCTGTCACTCTGCAACCCATCACCATTAAGCTTCCACTCTGAATACTCCCACAAAGGCAATCGTGGGCCTCTCAAAAGCTAATCTAATGTACATATTCCAGTTCTCATCTTACTTGCCCTCTATAGCATCTGACATTTTAACACCCATTCATTATTTATTTAAAAATTTATTTGGAACTATTTTAGGTCTGCAAAACATATACAGAATAATATAACAAACATACCTGTTTTATTAGTCAGGGTTCTCCAGAAAAGCAGAATCAATAGAATGTATACTATAGAGAGAGAGGGAGAGGATGAAGGGAGAAAGAGAGACAGAGAGGAAGGGAGAGGGAGAGAGAAAGAGATTTATTATAAGGAATTGGCTCATGCAAGTTCCAAGACCTGCAGGGTGAGTCAGCAAGCTGGAGACCCAGGAGAGTTTATAGTCTGTTAGTTCCAGTCCAAGTCAGAAGGCATGAGAACCAGGAGAGCTGATGATGTAAGTCCCGTCCAAAGGCCAGCAGGCTCAAGACCCAGGAAGAACCAGTGTTTCAGGTCAAGTCTGAAAGCAGGAAAAAGCCAGTGTCCCACTTTGAAGGCAGTCAGGCAAGAGGAATTCGCTTTTACTTAGGGGAGAATCAGCCTTTTAAAATTCTATTTAGGCCATCAACTGATTGGATAAGACCCACCTTTATTAGAGAGAGCAGTTTGCTTTACTCGTTCTACTGATTTCAAGGTTAATTTCAACCAAAAGCACCCTCACAGAAACACCCAGAATAATATTTTACCAAATACCTGGGTATCTTATGGCCTGGACAAGTTGACACAAAATTTAGCCATCATACCTGTAAACGCCATGAGTTAATATAGCTTAAGCTCCTCCTCTATTGCATTCCTTTCTTTCCCCCCAGAGGAAATGTTATTCTGAATTTGGTGTTAATCATTCCCATGCATATGTTTCTATTTGTACTGTATTATATACTCTATATGCATTGCGTTTTAACTATATAAATAACATCATGCTGTGTATATTCTTCTACAACTTTCTTTTTTGACTCAACATATTTGTCAAGTTCATCCATGTTAATGCATATAGCTTTAGTTTACTCATTTCACTGCTGTATAATATTCCATTGTACAGCTACACTCTATTCTCTTGTTTCTCGTTTTTTTGCTATTATAAACTGTGCTGCTATGGAAATTCTTGTACAGATCTTATTGTGCCCATTTGTGCTTCTCCAGCAGTCTACCCAGGAGTGAAATTGATGGCTGCAGAGTCTGCACACCTTTAACTCACCATACTCATGCTAACGCTCGTATTGTCAAAGCCTTTTTTTGGACAACCAGATGGGTGTGAGATTTTAGATTATCATGATTTTAATTAATTCAAATTAATCCTCCAACTATTAATAGGATTGAACATCTTTTCATGTGTTTATTGAGATTAGAATTGCCTTCTATTCCTGTTTCCTCATCTTTTTCCAATTATATTATTGGTCATTTTCTCTTGGATTTATAATAATTTTATAGTGTGGCCAATTGTCCCCTTTCAGTTACATGTTTTTATGTTATCCTTTCCAAACTGGTGGCTTCTGTCTCAGCAGCTTTTTAATAGCATTATTAAGGTCTAATTAACATATCCTAAAATTCAACCATGCTAAAGGTATAATTCAATGATTCTTAGTAAACTTGAGGAGTTGTGTAACTATTACCACAGTCTAGTTTTAGAATATTTATAACATCCCAAAGCAATTCTTCCTGCCCGTTTGCAATCAATCTCACCCCCGCCACAGGCAAACGCTAATGTGCTTTCTCTCTATATAGATTTTTCTTTTCTAGACATTCATGTAAATGAAATAATCTAATTTACGGTCTTTTACATCTGGCTGTTTTCACTTAGAATAATCATTTTAAGGTTCATTTGTGGTATAGCTATAGTAGTTTTGTTTTTCTTTTTATTGCTGAGTAGTATTTTATTGTATGAATACAGCACATTTTGTTTATTTACCAATTAATGGATATTTGGCTTAATTATTTCCGATGAGAAATAGCTCTCACATTTATATTTGACCCCAGCATGTAATGTGTCTTTTTTCCCCTTATGGCTGCTTTTAACATTTGCTCTTTATCTTTGGTTTCAGCAACTTTCTCTGATGTACCAAGTGTGATTTTTGTGTGTGTTTTTTGTTTTTTGAGATGGAGTCTTGCTCTTGTCACCCAGGCTGGAGTGCAATGGTGCAATCTCAGCTCACTGCAATCTATGCCTCCTGAGTTCAAGTGATTTTCCTGCCTCAGCCTTCCAAGTAGCTGGGATTACAGGTGCCTACCACCACGCCCGGCTAATTTTTGTAATTTTAGTAGAGACAGGGTTTGTCCATGTTGGTCAGGCTGGTCTCGAACTCCTGACCTCAGGTGATACGCCCACCTCAGCCTCCCAAAGTGCTGGGATTACAGATGTGAGCCACTGCACCCAGCTCTGGCTAATTTTATATTTTTAGTAGAGATGGGTTTCACTAAATTGTCCAGGCTGGTTTTGAAATTCTGACCTCAAATGATCTGCCTACCTAAGCCTCTCAAAGTGCTGGGATTATAGGCCACACCTAGCCGTAAGTATGATTTTTTAAAAGTTTATCCTGCTTGAGTTTAGTTGAACTTTTGGACCTCTGGATTGTTATTTTTCATCTACTTTTAAGCTACTCTTTCTTTAAATATTTTTCTGACTTATTGTTTCTTTCTTCTCCTTATGGAACTTTAATTGCATGTATGTTAGACTGCTTACTATAATCCAACAGTTTGCTAATGCTCTGTTCATTATTTTCAACCATGTTTTCCTCTCTCTGCTTCAATTTAGATGATTTATATTAGCTTATATTCAATTCGTTTATTTTTTTCCTCTGCAATGTCTAATTTGCTGTTAAGCTCATCCAGTAAATCTTCATATGTTGTATTTTTCAATTTTATAATTTATCTTTAGGTCATTCTTGAATTTCTATTTCTTTTGAAATACCCTATCTCTTTACCCATTGTGTCTGTTTTGTTTTTCCTTTAAAATTTTCAGCATACTCACAACTGTTGTTTTAAAGCCTTTGTCTGCTGATTCTCATAACTAGATCACCTAATGATCTAGTTGTCTTGTGACTATGAGTCATAGTTTTCTACTTTTTCATATGTCATAGAAAATTTGTATTCTGTACCCTGTGTGTGAAATAGCAGTAGAGGCTTAAGCATAATTTTTTGTTTTGTTTTCATTTTTCAGGGAGTGCAAGCTTTTCCCTCTGTTTGGTGGTTAAAGTGCATAAACATAGGATTATTATATCCTTTTGATGAAATGACCCCTGATCATTATGAAATGTCCTTCTTTATCTCCGATGTCTTTGCTCTGAAATCAATTTTTATTGTTGTTGTTGCTATTGTTTTGTTTTTGTTTTTTGAGATAGGGTCTTACTCTATCACCCAGGCTGGAGTGCAGTGGCATGACCAGAGCTCACTGCAACCTCTGCCTCCTGGGCTCAAGCAATCATCCCACCTCAGCCTCCCAAGTAGCTGGGACTACAGGTCTGCACCACCACACCTGGCTAATTTGTTTGTATTCTTTGTAGAGACAGGCTTTCACCATGTTGCCCAGGCTGGTCTGAAATCAACTTTGTCTGGTGTTTATATAGAAACTCCAACCTTCTTTTGACTAATGTTAACAAAGTATGTCCTTCTTACCCTTTTAAAGATTTTGTATTTAAAGTACATTTCTTGTAGATAGCAAATAATAGAGTCTTAAAAAAAATCCATCTAACAGTCTCTGCCTTTAAAATGAAGTGTTTAGGCCATTTAGATTTAATGTGATTATTGATGTAGTTAGACTTGAGGCTATCACTTCACTGTCTATTTTCTATTGGTCCCATCTATTCTTTGTTCCATTTTTTCTCTTTTTCTGCTTACCTTTAGATTAATTATTTTCAATTGAGTATCAATTATTTGCAAATGTTACAAACCCAGAAATACATTCTTATTATTTTTGTTTAAATAGTCAACTATCTTTTAAAAAGTTTTAAACAATTTTCTTTTTTTATGAGATGGAGTCTTACTTTGTCACCCAGGCTGGAGTGCAGTGGTGCCACCTCGGCTTACTGCAACCTCCGCCTCCTGGGTTCAAAAGATTCTCCTGCTTCAGTTTCCCATAGCTGGGATTCCAGGCACCCGCTCCCATGCCCAGCTTATTTTTGCATTTTTAGTAGAGACGGGGGTTTCAGCATGTTGGCCAGGCTGATCACGAACTCCTGATGTCAGGTGATCTGTCTGCCTTAGCCTCCCAAAGTGCTGGGATTCTAGGTGTGAGCTACAGTGCCTGGCCAGTTTTAAGTACTTTTTAAAAAATTGTATTTTTTACCCATATAGTTACCATTTCTTCTACTCTTTATTTCTAAAACATATTTTTTCTGGAT